ATATAAAACTAGGGAACTAATGAAACTCTTAGCCAGATAGTATTGGCTAATGTTTAAGGAAAGCCTACTGCATTTCACCTACTATTCTAGCTACTTTGATTGGACTATGCTATTTAATCTTTACAGTAACACTATGTGGTGGGTATTGTAATTAACTGACAGATGAGTAGGGTGAAGTTCAGAGATCTTGTCCAACGTCACACAACTATGAGGGACTAAACCTGGGATTTGAATGCAGGATCCCATTCCATACCCTGTACTGTGCTTCTAACCACGTGGTCCTTTCCTTGGAGGGGTAAAGCTCTGTTATGAACTATTTGAATCTTCTTTGATTGTCTTGATTCTTCCTTAAAGCAGGACTCATGCAATTTTAATTGGAATCCTGATAAAACAGGGGTTTTATTGCTTGGCTGATAAAACTATTGCAGAGACTTTTTTAGGTTCCTGATGTGTAATTGCTCTGCATTCTTATTGTTGGCACAGAGCACCCGTCCAACTGTTATTCCTCACATAGTGCTGTGGAATTGGGCAGCAGGGATTTCTACTAAAATCCCTCTTTCCTTGATCTTTTCCTTGATCCCTGGGTTACACTGGCAAACAGCTCCTGTATACTGCCTATACTGGAGTTTGAGTTGGACAGGAACCAGTCAATCAGTGAAGGCTCTGTGCCTGCTGAATGCCATGCCCTGGCTGTCTGGTCTCCGGTTCTGACTTCATAAAGTGCTGTAATCATTAACCGCTGCAGGAAGCCCGCAAGACAGACGAGAGTATCTGCTTCTGCTCAGCTAGACACAGTGACTGTTGAAGCCCTGAGATGGAGAGAAGTCAGGAAAGAAATGGTGGTGAGGGGGTGGCAGGACGGGAGCCAGGTGGTGAGGGGCTAAGGCTGAGGAGGGAGATTGGTTTGTGGAGTGCCGTGTCCCTGATGGCTGGCTGTATGATTGGCTCTGGCGTCTTCATGTCACCACAGGGGGTCTTGGTCTACATGGGCAGCCCTGGAGCCAGTCTTGTGGTCTGGGCAGGCTGTGGCCTCCTGGCCATGATGGGTGCCCTGTGCTATGCTGAGCTGAGTGCCCTGGTTCCCAAATCTGGAGGGGAGTATGCCTACATCCTGCAAATCTTTGGCTCTTTGCCAGCCTTCCTGGTTATCTACACATTTGTGTTGCTGGTCAGACCAGCTGCCATTGCTGCCGTCTCCCTGAGCTTCGCTGAGTATGCCGTGACCCCCTTTTACCCTGGCTGCTCCTCGATGCCCCAGGCTGTGCTCAAGGGTGTGGCTGCCTCCTGCATCCTGCTGCTGACGCTGGTCAACTGTTGGAGCTCACGGCTGGCCACCATGCTGGTGAACGTGTGCGCCGTCGCCAAAGTGTTCTCGTTGCTGGTCATCGTGGTGGGTGGGGCCGTGGTGCTGGGCCAGGGCCGGGGCCACACGGAAACCTTTTTGCTTGCCTTCCACAACACAACACAGCAGGCTGGGCGCATTGGCATGGCCTTTTACCAGGGCATGTGGTCCTTCGATGGCTGGAATAACGTCAACTATGTGGTGGAAGAGCTCAAGAATCCAAAGGTGAGTCCATAATACTTCTTCAGAGGGTGAAATCTCCAAACATTAGCTGTTCCAATTATTGTTATTTGAACTGACTAAAACCATGAGAAATCAGCTGAAAATGGGGGTACCCTTTTTGAAGTCATGAATGCCAGCCCACTGTCTACCTTAAGTAGTTTATGGAATTAGAGGAATAATAACTTCCCAAGTGAGCACAGAAATTTATAGGATCACACTCATGGTCTCATTTGCCTGGCAAGGTCGATATTATCAACACCATTTTTTCACATGGGAAAACTGAGGCTTAGAAAGGGGGAAGTGATTGTGAGGTCATACCACTAGCAAGAGGCCGTGCTTGATGACTCAGCTTGTTATCTGTCTTGATAGCTGGAACATTTGGACTCTTCAGTTACTATGGAAATTAACTCTTTGCTATAAATATATTTGCTTAGGTTGCTATTTGTTTTCTTTTTTTCCTGCAGGAGCCTTTAATTTTCAGAGGGTGAGAACTGAGTCTTTTCCTCTACATCCTCGGGGCTGGCTCAGGGGCCATTACATGTCTCACCTCTCAGCAGAGGCTCCCTGGAGGGGGGTTTGGGAGAATCTGGGGGGAGAAGAGGAGATTGGAGACTGAAGTCCCAGAGCACAGAGAGACCGGGGTGAGAGCCAGAAGTCCTGGGACCTAGTTTTTATTCTTGCATGTAATTCCTCGTGCTTTAGTTCCTCCCTATCAACGGGATCATAATAGCTGCCCCACCTACCGCGCAGGGCTTGAAGGTATTAACTGTTATTAACTGGCGTAATCACTTGTGGATGGAGTGCCATAAACAGCTGTAATTTCAGGTGAATGGTTACTGTGTGTCCATGGTGGCTCTGGGTGAGGCTGGGGCTGCCAGGCAGGGGCACGGGCTCATTCAGTTCACAGGGCTAGACTCCTCTCTCTCTGAATCCAGGCTCTGGGCTCGGAGCTGGTCCAGGGAAAGAGCAAGGGGGTCCAAAGGTGACAAGCTCCCATGCCATAGAGCATGGATTAGCAAATTTTTTTCCATAAAGGATTAAAAAGCTAACATTTTAGGTTTTGTGGGTCACGAGTCCTCTGTCACGATCACTCAACTCTGTTGCAAATAGCCATAGGCCACAAATAAGGGTGGCTGTGCCTCCATAAGAGTTTATTTTTAAATTTTTTTTTTTTTTTTTCAACGCCCATTTATTTCTGGGACAGACAGAGACAGAGCATGAACGGGGGAGGGGCAGAGAGAGAGGGAGACACAGAATCGGAAGCAGGCTCCAGGCTCCGAGCCACCAGCCCAGAGCCCGACGCGGGGCCCGAACCCACGGACCGCGAGATCGTGACCTGGCTGAAGTCGGACGCCCAACCGACTGCGCCACCCAGGCGCCCCTATTTACAAAAACAAGCAGTGGCTGGTTTTGGTCCACAGGCTGTAGTTTGCTGACCTCTGAATTTTTTTAAACAAATTTTTTAATGTTTATTTATATTTGAGTGAGAGAAAGAGAGAGTGTGTGTGCATGAATGGGGGAGGGGCAGAGAGAGAGGGAGACACAGAATCCAAAGCAGGCTCCAGGCTCCAGGCTCCAAGCTGTCAGCATAGAGCCTGACAAGGGGCTTGAACTCACGAGCTGTGAGATCATGACCTGAACCGAAGTCCGACACTTAACCGACTGAGCCGCCCAGGCACCCCTGCATTTTTGACAAATGTGGGTTTCTTTCTTTCTTTCTTTCTTTTTTTAATGTTTATTTATTATTGAGAGAGAGACACAGAGCGTGAGCAGGGGAGGAGTAGAGAGAGGGGTAGACAGAATCTGAAGTAGGCTCCAGGCTCTGAGCTGTCAGCACAGAGCCCGACGCGGGGCTCGAACTCATAAACTGTGAGATCATGACCTGAGCCGAAGTCGGTGGCTTAATCAACTGAGCCATCCAGGCACCCCGACAAATGTGGGTTTCAAGCAAAAACAAAGCCATGCCTCTGAATGATGGACAATTGAAATTATGGCTCTAAGTCTGAGCTCTGAAGCACATGTTAAGTGTATCTTTGTTTCACACTCTTTCAAGAAACGGCAGATCCTATGCCAAACCTGGGCCAGCGTTATGCCCATGTGCCCTGGAATTTGAGTAAAGAGTTAAGGTGTTTGAGAATGAAACCAGGAAATCTCACTGTTCTTGTGGCACAACCTGGGGCTTGGCTGTCATAGCTCATTAGCTGGCCGGTGGGCTGTCCAAGAGGAGTCGAATTCAAAAGCATGTCAGATCCCTTCCCTGTGACTTGGCATGTGGCTGGGTCATGCATGGTGGGTGCTTGCCTGCTGAGGGCACCCCACAGCAAGGCCTGCAGTAGGAGGAATCCAGGACTCTGCTCCATTGCCCATCTTTGCTACACGTGGCCTCTTCTCGGCCCAGGCAGAACACACTTTCAGGACTGGGAAGATGAGGAATTAGCCGCTACGCTGAAACAGTGGTTGGGGCCATTTCCTTTGCCTCCAGATCCTCAGATTTGAGAGCTGGAGGGAACCCGAGAGGACCTACTGTCTGTGAGAGTCCATTGCTGTCCTACTGGCTTCACTTGCATGCATTTGTCACATGACCTGCTAGGTCTGCTGACCAGGTTGCCCAGGACTGGAGACTTCCTAGGGATATGGGGCTTCTGGTGTTAAAAGCGGGAAAGTCTCAGGCAAGCTGGGGCGAATTGGTCACCCTCCCCGGTCCCTGCCCTTAGAGGACAAGACAGGATGGGACAGAGGCTTGGATATAATAAAGCTTGCTGAGGTGCTGTCTCCACTTGCTGCTGGAACTCATGAGTCAGAACAGTCCAGCAGTCCTGTGAGAGGAGGGCTGGAGCTGAGCCTTGAAGGGCTGATGTGGTTTGTGGCAAAACAGCCATGCAGAGGCAGTGTGAACAGGAACACAGAGACCAGAAAGAACTGGGCATCTCTGTGTCTCAAGGAAGTTTGAGTAGGGCAGAAGACAGGCCCTGAGATCAATACTCTGCCCTCAGTGCCCCCTTCCTCCTGTGCTTGCCTCCAGAGTTTTCTGTGGCAGATCTCAGGCTGGCAGAAAGCTCTGGAAATTGCCTTATTATTATTTTTTAAATATTTATTTACGTTTGAGAGAGAGTAAGAGCGAGCCGGGGTGGGGGCAGAGAGAAAGGGAGAGAGAGAATCCTAAGCAGGCTCTGCACTTTAGTGCAGAGCCTGATGTGGGGCTTGAACTCACAAACTGCGAGATCATGACCTGAGCTGAGCTCAGTAGTTGGATCCTTAACCGACTGAGACACCCAGGTACCCTTGGAAATTGCTTTTTATATAATG